AGACAAACAAACAAACAAACAGACAAACAAACAAACAAAGTCCTTCAGAGAGACATTTTCAAGAACATTTCAAAATCACCACAGGTAATAATTATGATAATATAATTCCCTGCATACATGCCCCCCCCCCCCCACACACACACACTTCTAAGTGGCGTTGGTACCCTTGTTCTCAGGCTACCGGCCCTTGGGAAAGGCACTTTACACACAATTCCAAACTGGCTCGGTCCTTTCGGAGATGGACGTTAAACTCGAAAGTCCCGCCTCTTAAATAACCTTATAGTGCTGTCAGGGGCATTAGACCTATACCATTTTACCATCTCTTCTTTTGGAGATGGACGTTAAATTCGGAGACCCCGTATAGTGTTGATATGGCGTTATACCTTATAATATGTAGGCCTACCATTTCATCATAAATCAACAGTTGTTGTATCTAGTAGAAATCGGCAGTATCCGGCCAAAATGGAAGCTTTTGCCCCTTCATTGAAGGAAAACGATATTGCTTGACCTGACTCAGATCGATGAACGTATAGGCCTAGCTACCATTTCACCACCTTCCTCTTCCCCCAGGCTTTGAGGGAGCCAACTGCAGCGACCCCGTAGACGACTGCGTGAACCACCGGTGTGAGCACGGGGGCACGTGCGTGGACATGGTCAGGCGCTACCGCTGTGTCTGTGACGACACGGGCTACACGGGCTTCTTCTGTGAGGTGAGTGCCTGCAGGCTGTCTCTGGTGGGCGGTGTTTGGTGGCTGTTGTTTGCTGTTACTGAGAGATTTTGTTTTTTTGTTTTGTTTTTGGGTTGTTGTTTTTGTTTTGTTTTTGTTTTTCTGTTTGTTTGTTTTTTACTTTTTGTTTGGGTTTTTTTTTTTTTTTGGGTGGGGGGGTTTGTGGGGTTTTTTGGTCTTTTTTTTTTGGGGGGGGGGGGGGGTAGTTTTTAAAAAAGCTTTCTAAGGGCTGTATAAAAAGTACAATTTAAGTACAAAGTAGAATCTACATGATGTTGCCATCACCGGCATTCAACAATGGAATTGGTCAAAATTTGACGAGGAATAAAATGAATATTGAGGTCATTGTAGAGTTTGATGAGCTGCTTCGATTGATTTAATATTACGAAATATTATTATTACTATTTTCATTACTATTATTATTATTATTATTATTATTATTATTATTATTATTATTATTATTATTATTATTATTATTATGTCCTGTCGCTATCTATCTATCTATCTATCTATCCATCTATCTATCAATTTATCTATCTGTCTGTCTATTTGTCTGTCTAATTATTTGTCTATCTGTCTGTCTGTCTGTCTGTCTGTCTGTCTGTCTGTCTGTCTGTCTGTCTGTCTGTCTGTCTGTCTCTCTCATATCTATCTTATATCTATCTGTCTTTTCTATGTATCTATCTATGAATCTATCTATCTATCTATCCGACCTCCCCAGGTTCCCATCACGTCCTGCAGCCCCAACCCGTGTCTCAACAACGGGACGTGCTCACTCAAGGACGGAGGCATCGTCTGCAACTGCTCAGACCCCGGTTACCAAGGCAACCTGTGCCAGTCAGACGTGGACGAATGCGCGGACGACGCCCACAAATGTCAGGGAGAGTCTGTGTGCGTGAACGTCGTGGGGAGCTACAGCTGTGTGTGTGGCGGATCCAGAACGGGTGAGTGCATACACATATATACGCGCTCGTGCTCACACACACACATACACACACACACATGCGCTCACACACTCACACACACATACACACACAGACACACACACACGCTCTCTCCTCTCTCTTTCTCTCTCTCTCTCTCTCTCTCTCTCTCTCTCTCTCTCTCTCTCTCTCTCTCACACACACACACACACACACACACACACACACACACACACACACACACACACACACATCACATACACTCACACAATATTGTTGAACCTCGGTATACAGCCACCTTTGGGACGAGCATACAGTTGGCGGAACAGCGGGGCTGGCGGTTCAACGGGGTTCCTCTGTTTTACTAAGTTTTAGAGCCCCGACTGCCCAACGTCAAGGAACATGATTCTGCTGTGCGATCTGTATTTGAAAAGTGTTTTTTGCTGGTGATGTACATGTATGTGCACATGTACGCAGAGCCGATGGTCTTCTTTGTCTCTATCTCTATTTTTTTCACTGGTAAAAAAATATGACATGTATCAAGTAACCAACCAGTAAGTGACGTGCGTCGCGTGTAGTTTGTACCTCTGGCGGCCAATTCAGTGGCGGTACATGGGGGGGGGGGGATACTTTACTTTAATAAGGACGGTATAACTCAGACATTTGGCGAATGGCGGTGTAAAAGCATAATAAATACATGTACTATGTTTATATATAGGTGTCCTTTTTTGGTACACTGGCAAAACTTGGCGGTAAGTGGGGCTGGCGGTACAACGGGGAGGGGGTTTACAAGGAGGTTTCACTGTATATATATATATATATATATATATATATATATATATATATATATATATATATATATATATATATATATATATATAATATATATATATATATATATATATATATAATTTATAAATATATATATTTCCATTCAGAAATGTGTTTTTAAACGGTCATAAAAGGTGTTGAGCTAAAAATATGAGAGAAAAAAATGACAAAAATTGCCCAACCGGCAAGAAAAGAAAATGGTCGGTTTCTTTGCTTTAATTACTTTGACGAGGGCCTGATTTCACATTGCCGTGTCCCACAAATCCACTATCAATCATCAATAGCCACCACTCACATTTACCTACGCTCACACCACAATTATTTCTCGCTTTGCTCTATCAGGAGAATTTTGCGAAACCGCCGTTGCCCAACCCCAGACAAGCTCCTCATCAGCGCTGAGCGACGGGGCAATCGTGGCGCTGGTCATCCTCGCCTTGTTGCTCCTTCTGCTCGTGGTGGTGGTGGTGGTATGGCACATGAGGCAAAGGCGGAAGACGCAAGGCAAGTACCGACCTTCAGAGATGGAAGGAGCTGCACCCGCGCCCGGCATTCCCATGGACAAGCTAGCAGACCGAGGAGAAAGACTGATATAATAGATAGAGGCCAGAGCTTGTCAACCTTTGTATTTTTTATAGCCAATACCCACTTCCTACCTTCAAGTATTCACGCGTGAGTGCACCTAAGCCTTGTAACATCTAGATCTACGGCCATTGTAAATGACCGAGACAAATTTCTCCCTGCGAGATTAATAAAGATCGTCATTGTCTTTGCCATTATCATTGTCATTGTCAAGTAAGAAGCAAAATTTCCCTTCCGCCCACCTACACATGCATCTCCCATATCTATCAAGTTTTTGTTTTTTTTAAGTTTTAGTAAGTTTTACGGTACTTGTAACACAATAAGTATAAAGCCATACAAGTGCAGAAGAATTGATGTGTTACAAGAGAGAGAGAGAGAGTAACATACGAGTACATAAAAAAGGACAGATAAGGACGATAGATGTTTGATAGGAAAGAAGGAGCAAACAACACCTAAGCACCCGCCAAACACGTACAAGTTTGAGTTTGAGTTAGAGTAGAGAAAAACATAATTATTATCGGCACCAGAGGCGAAGCGTCTATATAATCAAATAATCACTGCTTCCCTTCCTAATTTTGAAACATTGTCGCAGTCAAATTCACCCATAGACGTAAACCTCATAAATTAAATGTAAAAAGACGTTCATAATCACCAATGAACAACAGACTATGCCTAACCTTCAAAACCGTTTCATTGCCACAGAAATAGCCTGTTCGCCCCTCTCGGGCCACTCCATAAGCAGTCACAAGCTTTGATTAAGTAAGCTTAAAGTGAGGCTGGAAGAGTCAACCAATGGATTTGAAGGGAACATGTGCATAGCAGTCAGAACTGTTTCATTGTCGCATATACCTTGTTCACCCCTTTCGGGCCACAGTTATAAGCACCCAGACGCGCTGATTATCTAAGCGAACCATTACACTGGTCGAGTCTACCTCACAGAATATGTGAGGGGAACTAACTCCTAATAATCCTTTGACTCCTGATACCACACTGCTAGTGCTTGTTTTTTTCCTCGACTTTTTAACGTCCTAATCAGATCGTGACCTCGATTATGACAGCGGCTCCTGGCCGCGAAAAGCTAGACAAAAAACAGCCAAATGTGAAATAAAAAAATGATAGTTGGCGTGCTCTACCAAAGTGTTTCGGCTGTCTGGTATAACATGCCATTGTAGTGCTGACATCTGTGCTTCTTTCCTTGGTGTTCGTGTGTTCAAATCTAAAGTTAAATTTAAGGTTAGTTAGAATAAATATTTAATGAAATACTTTCCCGATTATTTTAGCGGTTCAACAAGCATACAACATGAATTCAGGATTTGTTTTCATGCACAACTCAGAGTTGCCGCCTCCAGTGCCAGTAAGATTCTTGTGACTTGTGTGAGTGTGATATCTCCAGGCCCTATCTGGTCCCATTTCACTTTGATTACCCTGTCAAACAAGTCAGCCTTCGCCCCTGATCGGCACCATATTTTCGGTGCGGGTCTAAGCAAGACAAACAGACAGAAACAACAGAGAGAGAGAGAAAAAAATAAGACGTACCAGTGTTGCCTTCCAACCATCCACATGCCCACTTTTGCCAACTAAAATTGTGTGCAGCCCACCTACTGTACGTGTATTTGTATTTCCAAGTAAATAAATTTTGTTAGTTTATGAGGGTTTATCAAGACCCATGGCAACACTTTTAGGTTATTTGAGAGACGAAACCTCCGCGCGTGCGCGTTATGTGTATGTCTATGTATGTATCTGTGAGTGTGTGTGTGTGTACATGTATAAGTGTGTGTTGTGTCTGTGTGTATGCGCGTGTGCCTGCGTGCAAGTATATCCTATGTATGTATGTATGTATGTATGTATGTATGTATGTATGTATGTATGTATGTATGTATGTATGTATGTATGTATGTATGTATGTACGTATGGATGTATATATGTATGTGCGCGCGCGTGTGTGTGTGCGTGCGCCCGCGTGTGTGTGTGTGTGTGTGTGTGTGTGTGTGTGTGTGTGTGTGTGTGTGTGTGTGTGTGCGTACGCGCATGTAGTCTATGTGTGTGTTTGCATATATGTGTGCATACGAAATTTGTGTTTATACATTAAAATATACATACGCATTGTATTGTATAATATATAATTTTACACACATGCTTTGTATGTTATATAATATTTGTACAATTGCATACCCTATCTATATCACATTATAACATGACATATGTTTTATATTAAATACAATGTATGTGAACAAATGAAAATCATGGTGTATGGTGTATATGAATATTATGGTGTGTTGTATTCATAAAATAATATGTGATGTACGTTTGTGAGTGTGAGTATATATAATATGTACGTGAATGTATTGAGTGTGTGTGTGTGTGTGTGTGTGTGTGTGTGTGTGTGTGTGTGTGTGTGTGTGTGTGTGTGTGTGTGTATACGTGTGTGTGAGTGAGTTGACGTACGTTGATTTATTATAAACATGTAATAAGAATTAACTTCTAACATACTGCAATATGACCTTTGTAATTGTCCCCTAGAGTAACCGTGTCCATTCCGATATATTTTGTTTCATGTACTATGTAGGCCTACTGATAATGATATACAATATATGTATGTGCGTGTTGCTTGGAGAGGTGGAGGAAAGAGGGAATCGTGAAACGATTGAGAGAGAGAGAGAGAGAGAGAGAGAGAGAGAGAGAGAGAGGGGGGAAGAGAGAGAGAGAGAGAGAGAGAGAGAGAGAGAGAGAGAGAGAGAGAGAGAGAGAGAGAGAGAGAGAGAGAGAGATCATATCAGCTGATAAGGTGCTATGCATTTTATGTCACAGAAACTGGTGAAAGCACATTCTTTCCCGTGGGGAAGCAATAAAACATATTATATATAGACCCATCTAATCTTATTTTATCTTATCTCATCACATTTAATCTTATACAGGGGTCTGATGCAGCAGTAAAGTGCTTTACTGTCGTATGAAGGAAATCTGAGTCCAATTAAACGGAGGGGAGAAAACTTATATAGAGTATTTCGGTCTTTCTGCTGGGATGTTGTATCCCTCTAAGCCCGGGTTGGCCCTGACTTGCAGGGTCAGAAGCCCGTCTCCTTTAGTTTTAGTAAGAGTTTTACGGCACTTGCAACACAATAAGGTCATATAAGTGCCGAAGATTAGAAGTGTTACAAGAGAGTAACAAACATAAAAAAGAAGGAGGGGAGATGGAGAAGATAGATTTTTTTTTTAAATAGAAAAGAAGGAGCAGACCACACCAGAGCACCCACCAACCAACCACCTACATTATACGCTGTACAAATTGTCTGAGGTCTTCAAATTGACGTTACCCTGTATACTTTACCCTGGCTAACAACATGATAATGGACAATATAAAAATCCACATCCCTTGTGTTAACTTTAACAATTAGTACCGTAACAAAATTGTATTTGTTATTTATAGTAGAGGGTTTTACGGCCCTCACAACTGCATAAGGTCATATGAGCGCCAAGGGGTGGGTGTCAACAGATACGTCTTTACAGAGAATCAGACTTAGACTACTCACCTCTCTAGCTTCAACAGCACAAGGTCTGCTTCGACTATCAAGGCACCCTGGAAATAGCAGGTCACAAGAGAGTGACAAACATACAAAAGAAGTAGAGGAAAATTACTATAGTAAGGATCAGGAAAGAAAAAGCGGCAGTTCCCTGTAGTAGTAGTAGACCAGGAACGTGACATGAGTCAGCCCATTTACAATTCTACTATGCTTGAACGAGAAATGTCCACCCTTTGGGAATGGCTTAAAGACACTACAGTCAGTGGCACTGCCCTGGGGGGTGCAACA